CTGGGTTTTGTGTTATTTATCGAGCAATGTGGGGAGAAGGCGCTAAAATCAATCTGGTCCGTTGAATAGTAAGATAACGGAGGGATCTCGAGGTGACATTTTGGCCGTTAGATTCGAGACAAGAGGTCCCGGTCTTGACGGGAAGATATGGTCATCGGATCTGGATTCCGCGCCTTCCCGCATTGCCGTTACCGTAGCAGGCCGGCACGTGCCACCCCAGTTTTAAAATTAGTTCGGAGAGAATGAGAGATTAGGTTTCCGAGTGACTACTCCACACGGGCCTAGTCTACTCGCATGGCTTAATCACCGTCTATCATGAGACACGATCTATTCAGATTTCAGACTCCAGTACTTTTAATGTCGTCACTGTATACGTAGGATGCGAGAGATTGAAAGCAATAGGCTCCGCTTTTAAACCTCGTTTTTTAAATTTTAACACTCGGCATAAAAGGCAATTACCATGGTTTTCCTCCCACAATTTTCCATCTAATACAGCAGTCAACGGCCATTCAAGGCACAGATGTCAGATGGGGAATAATTAAACCTGCCACAAACATTCGACATTTCAAAATATGATAGCTGCTATTCCTAATTTTCTCCTCATATCCATAAACAAATAAATGCTTATTAATTTGATTGTATTTGTGACGGTTTGAAAATTGGTCGACGTTACTTCACAGGACCCTCTAATTTTATTGCTTTCTATAGTACAGTATGCAGTAAACTCAGTATTGCAGAGGTAACTAATTAATTTGAATATTAAAAAAAAAAGAGATAATTAATCTATAGCTTCTTATAGTTTCAATTAATTTTGAATCGGGTAATTATAGTTTTTTTTCTTTTTATTAAGTCCTTATACTTTCACTTGTTTTTAATTAGGTCATTGTATTTATTTTTCTTTTTATCAAGTCCTTATAAGTTCATCTTATTTTTAATTAAGTCCCTGAATTTTTTATTCTTTATTTTATAAATTCTAATAGTACTATTATATAAACATAAAATAGTATATATTATTTAATATTAGTTTATAAACAATAATATTCTAAAGATATTGAATTATTATAATGATTTTAATTTTTTCAGCAAAAAAATTTCCTAAATTAATTAATTTATTACTTTTTTATTACATAATTATTAATTTAATTTAATTATTAATATTTTATATTTCAATATTAATCTATTTAATTAAGCTTATATTTAATTAATAAATAAAAATTAAAACTATATGGACCTGATTAAAAATTTAGTGAAATTATAAGGACTTAATTAAAAGAAAAATAAATACAAGAACCTGATTAAAAAAAAAGGTAAAAGTATAAGGACCTGATAAAAAGAAAAAAAACTATAGGGACCTGATTCAAAATTTGTTGAAACTATAAGGATTTACGGATTAATTAACTCTTAAAAAAATTAAGCAGAGTATTCTCCTAGGTTTAATTGATTAGGGAAAAAATTTAATTTAAAATATAAGAGGTTGACATGACTTTGAACCCTCTGTTACGAGAAAAATAAAGAGTTTAAATGCAGGAAAAATGAGAGAAATTTTTTTAATCTCGTTCTTTAATAAATGTAAAATAAGTAAGTTTTATCAATTTGAAATAAAATTAATAAATTAACTCATATTTTTTGGTTTGTGAGAAAACTTAACAAACTTCTTGTATAATAAAATAAAATGGGGGGAGTAGATATTTTTATGTAATACTCCTCCGGTCCTTAATATAAGACCCAATTTTTGGGTTGGTTTTGGTCCTAAATATAATACTCATTTCTTATATTTATCAATTTTATCTAAATTACTCCTATAAATATTCTATCAACTATAATCAAGTAGAAGAAGGAGAGTGAGTATTACGAAAAATAATTATGGTGTTTTAGGAAAAATGTGTTACTTTTCTTATAATTAACTAACTTACCTAACTTCTTTGATTTAATCAAATTAGTTAAATAGATCTTATATTAAGGACTGAAAGAGTATTAAATTATATACCAATTTGTAATTTAAATAAAGTGGCTTACTCGAAAATAATAGTTATAATAGGAAAAATGAATTAATATTTTATATTTAGAATTAAATCTAGTCACAACTGATTAAGAATAAGGGGGAGGGAATAATATAACATTGTCTGAGTCATTAATGATAATTTTGTGAGATTAAGTGTTTATTGGTTTAACGTCTTTGTTAATTTTGTGATGAAGCGTTATTTTATACTCCCATATTCAGTGAACGCTACATTTTAATCAAATCGAAGTATATAATATTCTAAGTTCGTAGCCTGCAGAGAACAGTAGATGGATTGATATCTACGCCTGATTTGTTAATGAAATCAGCGTGGGGAGTCATCTCACTGATTGTTTGTACCGTCCCTGTTTTTTAATATAAGATTTTATTTGATTTTTATTTTGATTCTAAATATAAGATTCTAACTACTTTGTCTTTCATATTTATGTATTTTTTTTCAATATAACCCTTCTAACAATTATAATTTTAACCAATACATTTGATTAGCAAGGATATTTTAGGAAAGACAACATATATTTATTACAAATAACTAACTTAACTTCTTTTTTTAATCTCCTCAAATTAGTCAATTAGCTCTTATAATTAGAACCGAAGACAATATAACACTTCAATGGGAAAAACATATGCTCAATCGTGAGTACTATTGTAAAAATAATAGTAGGCTTGAGCATCTATACAAGAGTTAGTTCAACTTTGTATCTGAGTATAAATATAAGTTATCTATTTATTTTATCTCTCATATTTATAATTTATTATGTAAAATTTTCCTGTTATTTTTTTATTCAATGGTAATTATGAGTAAAAAAAGTTTTAAGAAAACCTGTTAATATTTATTACAAATAACTAGATAATTAATGCAGGCCAATTCACTCGTATCCAGACACAAGGAATAGAGTATTATGTTTGTCACCATCTCACATGTTTTGCCTCTTTCGTTTGCTTGTTGAAAACATAAAGAAGCTCTATTTCCAATGTTCTTGATAATTTAAGTTTCATCTGCTCCAAAAAAAAAAATTCAAAATTTGCAGCGACAGAGAGAATGGGCAGATTTTCTTCCTTGGCCGGACTTCACCCTGAGAAGGAAAAAGATCAGAGGAAGTTAATGGAAAAGGTGAAGGATACACTGAACATGAAAGCATGATTAGGTTTGATGTGTGTTGATGCCTTTACCGCCGTTTGTTCACATTTGTAGGCCCCCACATCAATTTTTTTTTTTTTGTGTGTGTGTTTATTTTATGTTATCACTTAATCTGCCATTTTAATCAGCCCACGTCACGCTTATCACTTGCGCTTCTCATTCCCCTCAAAATAAATGGTAATTTATTACTACTGTCGTCTCAACTTAATTTCTTTCTTCCAAGGCCTGCCTTAATCTACATCCATGAGTTGTTTTCAAAGCAGAAAATATTAAAATCTTCAGCATGCTTTCATTTACCATGTCAAGGTTTGAATTTTGTTATATATGTACGTACTAGTATTTTCCACCACGTCACCGGATTAAAAAAACCGGGGGGCGGGAGCCATGAGCTTCAACTGTGACGACTCACTTGACTTTGTTTCTATGCTAATCACCTTTTTCTCGTTAGGCCGACTTCAACTAAAATAGCTGATCCTGTTTATCCTCTCTTTTTCATTGCATTTACAATTACACAGCGATAGAGGCCATAAAATTTACAAGTCATAAATAACGTGGCTTATTTTTTAACCATTTGCGTGCACAAATTCTCACTGCTAGTTTTATGGTTCAAGCTGTACTAATTGGCAACACTTCATTGATGCTTTACTATTACTGCTCCAAAAGCGATGCCCTGCTTTTGCTTTGCTGCTTGATTACTAGCCACAACAAGAAAAGCTTTATGCACTTTCAATCCATCAAATTATTAAAGAGAAAATTTCCTTTATTATCCGCTGCTTATTTGAATTTTGACGTTATATATAAAATAATTGGGCATAAATATGCATAAACTGCAAGTGGGCTTAACATCAGCATTAGGAAATTTTTTTACTTTTAATTTCAAGTGAAATGATTTTCATGCAATTCTCTCTCCGTCTCCCTTATCCACTCGGGGATTTTCTCCCTTATAAGTGATCTGTAAATTCCAACAATAATCACTTCGTGCGCCAAAAGATTATCAGTATTCTCACAACTTACAAAGATACCGATCAGTTTTTGAAAACTACAGATCAAATTGAGTCAAATCGTATGCTTAGGCATCCCTAATTATTAAAATATATTATTATTTATTGCCATCTCTGTTAAAGTATTCGCTCACCTCTCTGTCAACCGTACAAAGCCAGTACAAATAATTCATCAAAGTAAAACCAAAACCATATCATCACTTACTTCATAGATACTACGGTTCAAAAGTATAAACTGAGGAACTTGATTTCTTTACAAGATAACATTTATTTTTGTGTAAATATTTCATAATTTTTTTAAATTTTATTCTTATATATTCTCTTTCTTTTTAATTTATTTATTGCGTTTTTTATTTATTCTCTTCATTAACAAATGCATATTTTGGGGGGGGATACACACCTTATATATTTATTGTTTTAAACTGATTTTAAGTAATTTCTTGATAAATGTAAATTGATAAAGTTTATTTTATATTTTGAAATGGAAGGAGCATCATAATTCATAGCAGTTAAATACCAAATAATATTTATTAACAGTTGAGGGGAATGGATGATTTTGATTTGGAAGAAAAAAGGGGAAGCGTTAAGGACAAGGAAGAAGTGGGCGAGGCAGGGATAGGCCGGAAATGGGCATGCCTCATGATGAGATATGGATATGTGGGCCTGAGATGGCCTTTTTCATTTAATAGCATCATGGAAAATCCATGATATCATTCTTTCACCAATGGTCAACGCACCAAGAAACATCGCAGTTGGTTGGGTTTGAATCTTGATGATCTTTAGCCCTGTGCGGCTAATGACTCACAATCACAAGGATGGCTATTTGGGGACTCCATTGGTATTCGCGTCTAAGCTCAGCCGCGGCTGAACGTTTTAAAAACCTTGGCAATTACATAAAACGGCAAAATTTATTCCATGGCAACATCTTATTGCAGCAATTATAACTCAGATAAGACATACCCCCTACTGCGCATTTCTTTACATCATCCTCGCTACGAACCCAAAACAGAACAAGAAATTAATGTGACGGAGAGGCAGATCATGCCATGTCAACTCATCTTTCCATTTGCTTCTGGCCAGTTTTTTCTTTTCCTTTTCAAACTTGCCAAACAAGGCAAAATTAGATCGGAGCGTGGTGTGTTCTGTATCTCCACTCCTCAAGAACATGACTGCTGTTGAGCTTCATGAAGCACAATGGCCAAGAGAATAACATGCTCCTATACAACACGCCTCCCGGACAAAGAAAATGCCGGGTTTAAGACAACCTAACAAAAAATGGATTATCAACATGGAGAAACATAAACCTTAACTGAAAAGAGTTGGTGATTTCTCCGCAGGAGTTCATGATCCCGGTTATTATTGATTATTGTACATGTCCTTCCTACCCTTCATTTGTCACCAGCAAATAGCCACAATAACATTGGAATTTTATAAAAAGCCCTTGATAACAAATAATGACTAGACTAATGAGCATCTGCTGGTTCTCACTTCAGGCACACAGAAGTTACTACTATCCTACAATGAAAGCTCCCAGTGGAGAAAAATGCCTCTCATACGTTATTTCCGTGCTGTAACATATATAGTGCATCCCATGGCTTATTAGGGTTCAACCATCTCAAACCTTTTATCCGGATCATTTTCTTTTCAGTCTTCCTTTCATCCTTTCAACTGCAGCCCTTAGAGTTTCCTCATCCTTGCAGAAAGTAAATCTGACTAGATTCTTTCCCTCTTCCGGATTCAAGTAAAATACACTGGTAGGAATTGCCACCACTCCCACCTCCTTAATTAGATATTCACAGAATTCAACATCATTTTCCAGTCCAAAAGGTGTGTGATCCACCACAACAAAGTAAGTTCCACTGGACGGGAACACTTTAAAACCAACAGCCTTCAATCCATCCACCAAAATCTCCCTCTTTGCCATATAATCCCTCTTGAGATCCGCAAAGTAAGAATCTGGCGCTCTGAGAGCTGCTGCAGTTGCCCACTGCATGGGAGCGCAGGTGGCAAAAGTGAGGAAAGAGTGTGCCTGTCGCAGACCCCATGTCAAGTGAGGGGGTGCTATTGCCCATCCAACCTTCCACCCGGTTAACGAGAACGTCTTTCCCAGAGAATTCATTGTTACTGTCCTGTCAAACATTCCAGGAAGAGAAGCTATAGAAACGTGATCCATATCAAAAGACAACTTATCATAAACTTCATCAGCAAAAGCCAGAACATCATTTTCAATGCATAGAGATGCTATAGCATCAAGCTCCTCTCGCGTGAACATCTTTCCAGTTGGGTTGTGAGGTGTATTTATGAGAATGGCACGGGTACCATTTGAGATGGTAGACTTCAGTTCTTCAAAGGGGACAGCAAAGTCTGGAGGGCGCAAAGTGATGCATTTTATTTTAGCACCAGCCATGGAAAGAGTGGCCTCATAAGAATCATAAAAAGGAGCAAATAGGACAACCTCATCACCAGGATTTATTAATCCCAACACGGTCGCAGCAATTGCTTCTGTGCATCCAGTGGTAACGGTAACTTCTCTTTCAGGGTCCACCGTAAGCCCAGCATCTTTCTTAAATCTATCTGCGATGGCCGAGTTCAGGTCAGGAACTCCAGGACCCCGGGCGTACTGATTTTTCCCATCCCTTATGGCCTGAATTGCAGCTTCCTTTACAAACTCTGGACCATCAAAGTTGGGAAATCCCTGACCAAGGTTTATGGCCCCATGTTTGTTGGCAAGCATACTCATTTGGGAGAAGATTGTTGTTTTGAACTTCTCTAAGCGCTTTGCAACCTACATAAATGATAACAGTAAGCAATAACAAACATAAACAAATTCAGGCAATTTAAAAAAATAAAAAAAAAAGAAACTACACATGGCAAGTGTGAAGTTTGTTTTGTTTCTTATTTGCCTATTAACATGATATACACAGTAAAACCTAACACTCAAAACCCTCCGCTTCCTATCAGGCAATAATCGGTCGCCTAGTATCAGCTGCAAATACGCCATCAACTAAACCAGCTGGCATCTTCAATCACTTGTTTTGATATTGGAAATACTATGCCATTCACCAAGCAACTAACTGATACAGAAGCAAAGATATTGCACCAAAACGACAACTAAAACGGGGGAAACATATAGGAATTGAATGTTTAAGGTATGAAAAGACACTGCGTCATGATACAATTATGAAGAGATAACTAATTAGGATGATCCCATGGGCTCAACAAAACATAAATAAGTTCGAACATCTCATCTGGCAATAAACATCGAAATCTTAGGCCAATTGCATTGAACAAAATAATGAATCCAAAAATTCCAAGGTAGACTCATCAGCATTTAGAAATGCATGAACAAATAGCTCAGAAGCATGAATGGAACAAGGCGAAAAAAATCCAGGGCATGTTGACTGTGGCACTAATATGAGAAATACAGGGAAGCAACGAGTTGCTGATATCTTCGTGGGTATATAAAAGCAAGCGATGAACCGAAAAGAGATGACAAATCATAACGCAATAAGGACTTTAGATTGCCCAACAATTATTTGAGCCCTCTTCGCAGATGTATTTTCTCAGAACAAAGCAAACAGAAGATTGACCGTGAGACATGAGCTGAGGGATGGATCGATGCTTTCACACACATGGGTGGATGTGTGGTTAAATTAAGTCCAAATGTTCAAAGATGACTTTTCAGCTTGAAACATCACTACTGTGCGGAAAGCGACGATAAAGAACTGGAGGTTAAGAGCTTGAACCAGCAAAATACTGGTAACGCCAAAAATGAAATTGAAAACATTTCAGGGACAAGAAAAACAAAATTCAAACTGATATAAGTCCCGACTTGATCATAAATTGAAGATTGAAAATAGTCAGTAAATTGATGAAAGAACAATCGGGCCTCACCTGCAAAGGTTGCTGGGTCTTCTGAAAGGTGTCATTGTGATTGGGAACGAGCTCTTTGCCGGTGGACATGGCCGAAAGAAAAGACGGGAAATTCCACGTCGTGGTGGAGGCGGAGGAAGCGATTCCCCTCTGAAAATGGTCAGTGCCTATTCTGGCAAAGTGGAAGTCTTAAATACTGGGCACAAAGAAGGGGCGGTGGGGAAAGGAGGCCTTTTTACTCGTCGAGAAAAATGTCCAGATACGCTGGAACTGCATATATCACATTTATTGTGTATTTCGCGGAATGACCCGAAGAAGGTGAATCATGAACGACGGAAAGATTCCAAGGTAGTAATAGGCGGATGAAAATTGTTTTACGCATGCAGCTGCGAGATTCATGCCACATTCAATTAATCATTTTTTGGGGAAAGAATGCACTTGTCGGGTCCGTTAGTGGAAGAACATATTCCCCAATAACTTCGAAAACCCAACCATTACGGGGCACGTGTTTACGAACAATGTTCTGAAAGGGGTTGGTTCTGGCCCAACTCACAACAATGGGCCCATTTGCTCTGTCTCATAAGTCTTCCCCTCTTCCAATCTGTCTTGTATCCCGTCGACCGTCGTCCGGCTTTGGTTTTCTTTTTTCTTGGAAAATAAAAAATGAGTTCAACGTTGAATTTCATATTCAATATTTGAATTAATTATTATATAATAACAAATTATCTCAACCTCTTTAAGATGATAATGAATCAACAGAACAATTACAAATAATAAGTAACCTGATTATTAAATGAATTGGCGACTTAGTTTTGGTATATGTAATATATCACGCCCCAACATGTAACATATATACTGGTTAATGGTTCCCGTCTTTGGGTGTATTTATCTAAAATTTTGTAAGGAGTAACTTTTTTCTTGTTTTGCTTTTCTAACTCGGAAACTTCATATTTTATTTTTCCCGAAGACTTCATATTCACATACTCTCGAATTTTATTCTGTGTTATATTTATTAATGTTAATAAATATTATAAACTTCAAGTTAATTGGAGAAATGTTACGTGGATTAACTTGAACTTTCAGCTGTTTTTTTGGCCGTCGCCAAATGAAGAGAGACTTTGGAGTACCCAAAATGAAAGAGGAGAAATTAAAATCACGCGCGCGCACGTAGATGTGGACGTAGCTTGCGGTGCGGAGTTATCAATTAAAAGCACAACAACACTTAAAACAACAAAACGTAACATTCAGTTTACAAAAACTGCATCATACATACATATACTATATAACATCGATCAATTATTGAATATATAACCTATCACTTTCTTGTTGGAGGTATCAATTTTGATGGCTGAAAATCCATTTAACAGAGATTAAAGAAGGAAGCAGCCGAGCTATGAAGCGTAGGGAGTCTGATAGGCTGAACCATAACTTGCGTAAAACTGTGCGATGCTTGGGAACAAGAAAAGGCCATCAAAATTTGTATAAACATGTTTTCACTAATTATACAATAATAATTATTATTATTAATTATTAATGGATTGGAGGAAGGGTCGCGTTCACACACACACACACACACTCTCAATGTACGAGGTGGATCGCTGCTAGCTGCCTACGTTGGCGCGCCGAAACCTATTATGATCTCTGCCATATATATCTCCATCATTTCCTTCGCTGCACTAATTAAACTTCCCACTATATATATAGTGGTTTGATTTTTAATATAAAATTTATTTAACTAATTTGATTAGATTAAAAAAGTTAGGTACATTAGTTAATTATAAGAAATATGACACGTTTTTCCTAAAAATACCATAATCATCTTTCTTAATACTTCCTCTTCCTCTTCCTCTTCCTCTTCCTCTTCTATTTAATTATGGTTGAGGGAGTATCTATAGAAATAATTTAGAGAAAATTAGTAAATATGAGAAATGGATCTTATATTTAGGACCAAAACCAATTCAACAATTAGATCCTATATTAAGGATCGGAGGAGTATATATATATGCCTAAAAACTACACATCCTTATCAAAACTCGCTGGTCGTCCCCATATTGTATTTTACTACATTCTATACTGATAATTGCAGGGCGTCTAATAAAATGATTTAACAGCGAAACATAATAATAAATAAGTACAATAATATGACAAAAAGATGCCCACAATAATTTAACACGGGAAAATCTAATATGAAGCAGAGTGAAAAATTCTATTGTGAAAAAACAGGGTTTATAATAATCGACTCATCTTTATGAGTAGAAAAACACTGCATATATGTACCTATACACAAACAAAACTTTTTAAAAACTAAAATACTAAGCTGGCTAATAAAAAACATATCCTAAAATCTTTCTTGATCATAAATACACTGGAGATGTAAGATGTTTTAAGATAATAAATAAAAATAATCTCAATGGATTATAGAAATTTAAGTCACAATCTCAACAATTGTCCGCATCAATTGCTTCAATTATGCGCCCTCCGTCGTCATTTTCCCATTTATGATCCACCATTTATCAAACGTAACATTATCAACTTATACGGCGTTTAATTACTACCTTCAAATCACGATATATTATGGCTCTGATCTCTTTGGCATGGTATTAGAAATGACTTATAAACATATTTTACGTAAGTTAAGACATAATTCCTTTCACATACTTATCTCGTGTTTCGTAAATCATGACTCAAAATTTATTTATAAGTTATTATTCCAAACAGACCTTATGTACATACATCCTGTCATCAATTAAATTAAATATAATACTTGAAAGATAGAACATATTGCTTCAGCTGGTTAATCTGTTCCACTATAGATGTAGATATATATATATACTACGAAAGGAATTGATGTCCTGATTAATGATGTTACCGCCGGAGATATATGGAGCTTAAAATATGCGTACTCTCGGAGTTAGCTCTCCCGTGACGAGTTTGGTTTCAGTGCAGAAAATATCATACGTAGCAGCGCACAGATCAGAGATGAGAAACCGATTCATCATTTTTGCAATTAAGATAGAAGAATGTGATCGAGTGACACAAGTGCGTGCGTATGTTGCCATACTTCTGAGCTTCTTGTCGGAGATGATAATTATTGTGCTTGGCATTTGAGTAACCTACAACAGAGAAAACAAGCAAGCGTTGGTTTGTGACCCCAGAACATTAAATAAATATATATTTATTAGAATGCGATGGAATAGGTGTTTTTTCTTGAGATTATGTATCTGAACTTATTATAGTAGTTATAAAATCACTTTAACTTGCCATATACATCCAAAACTGTGAGACGTAAGGGTACATATATTCCCAGGAATCTTCCTTCTTGGGCCAACTTATGGGACAGGGGGATGTGACACCCACCACCAGCCACTGTATCTATTTTAAGCTTCCAATTCAGTTTCAATTTATATACTCCAATCAATTAGGTTGCGCGTTTGGTGTTTTGGATAGAGTTTAAAGTAAATTATATATTGTTCATAGCTTTAAAAAAAATTTGATTATATATCAAATAATTTTAATCCCATGTTAACGTTTTGTAATTAGTAAAACCTTATCATTATTCCCATGAATACATTAACGAAGCATGCTATTTAACATATCAAAGAATTAAATCAGGAGTAACATAATTATTTCTATCTCATGTTTCATTCAATTCAAATTGAACTAGTCAAATCTGTTTATATCTTGAAAAACAAACACAGCTTTTGGTCTTTAATATAAAAGTTGGTTAACTAATTTAAATAAATTAAAAAAATTAGTTAAATTAATTATTTATAATAAATATGTATTATCTTTTCCAAAATATCCTTACTAATCAAGTGTATTGATTAGAATTATCATTATTACAACGACTACCTTAAAAAAAAAAGATAAATATGAGAAACAAGAAGGATTTAGATATTATATTTAAGATTAAAATAAAAATTAAATTAGTTCTTATATAAAAAACCAGTTACTGTAATACAATATATACGCACAGTATTGTTACTTGTTAGAGGTGAAAGATAAGGGAAAAGAGTTATGGAAATTAAAGAAGAGTTCAGGAGCTTTTTTCATCGACAACGTTTTGAGTTTGACGGGTTCAAATTCCAAAAAAAGAAGAAGAAGAAAGAACCTAATTTCTTGAACGATCTAAATTTCCGAAAGGACATGAATGAGAGAACATAAACCACCTTGTACTTGACACTCGAACAGCTCAAATAGTTGTCAATAAAATATATGATCGTGTTATTTTCCTTCGTCTGCAATAGAGCGCACCTCAGTTTATAGAAATAAATGTAATGGAGGCTCAAGTTATCCAGAGCCGCGACTAGTGAAATGGAATGATGATTTCCATATGTTCCATCTGTAATTCCGCATCATCGTCTAAAACAAGAAGATATATAAATGAGCTAACAAAATTCGATTAAGCGCCATTAATTTTTCACAGATCCAGATCGAACTAATGGATGGAAGAGTGATTGATGTGCACGTACATGGTGACTCGTATTTGGGGGTTCCAAAAAGATGTTGGGAAGTTAATAGGTAAGGAAAGGAAGCCATGGAGCGAGTTGAGCATAGTAATTACTAATTAAGGTTGTGTGGGTTAATTTACAAATGGAGTCCAAACAGAAGCGGAAAGCAAGCGCCTTGATTTCCAACTCAGAACCAACTTGTTTTTACTGCCCATCTCCTCCACCCCATACCCGTCGTTGAATAACCCCAGCAGCAGCTTCGCCTGACAGTGATTCGCGAAGCTTATGTCCACTCCCCTGAAGCCTTCCTCACCCATCCACTCTCCCCACGACCCCCTCTCTCCTCCCTCCGATTCCCCCATTCTGTATATTCGGGCCAACGACGCGGCTATTCGGGGCCCCAAGAACACCCGCTCCACCAACGCCCTCGCCCGACCCTGCATCGGAAACCCCGCCTCCAGCGAATCGTACACCGCCGAATAGTGGTGCAGCCTGTCCATGAACCTCCCCACGAACCCCACATCTTTCCCCGTTGGCCCTCCCTCCTCTTCCACCAAAGTCACCACTCTCGCCTTCACTGCCGCCGCTCCCCTCAGAAACGACTCCACCGATTCTGGTGCCCGGTAGCTCTGGTGGGGCAGGTGGAGCATGCAGTTGAAGACCACCGCCTCCCCTCGAACCAGTTTCACGGCGGAGGGACGAAAGGTTTCGTCGGAGTCGAGCCTGCATTGGTGAAACGAGAACGGTTGGCCAATGGAAGCGGCGAAGGCAGTCAAACGACGGCCAGTCTCCTGGATGGTGGCGATTGATCTCCGCGCACTTCCCGTCCTGGAGATAGCCGTGATCCTGATGTGTGGCGAGTCCTTGCGGGAGGCCAGTGCCTGCATCAAGGAGGCCCATTGCGTCCCTTCCATGATGTCATAGTCGACGATGTGGACCCGCCTGTACTGGGCCACCGCCTCGAGGATGGCCTGATTGGCGGTGAAGTGGGCGAACTTGACGTGCGGTGACATGTCCTGAAGGAGCTGGAAGGCCGCCAGCATGTCGGTCTGGTGACGATTCTCTTCGCCACTGTTGGCGATCCAATTCCAATGCTTAGTACTGTGCGCTCCTTCTACTAAGCCCCTCAAGGCATCCGTAAAATACGCTGCCAGCCGCTCCATGTTGGTTCCGTCGGTCGGCGACACCAACTCCTTGAGCCGAACCAATATCACCATGACCAGATCACGGCTCTTGTTGACTCCAGTGAGAGCCTCGGCCGCCGCCATCAGGAGGTGCACCAGTCTCAGGCCCTTGAAATCCTCCAGACCGCCGTTCACTTCGTCGTCGGCCATGGTTACATCCGTCGTGGAAGTAGAGTTGCTGCACCCTTCCTCTTCCACACTGGGATCCGTTGCGGGGCTCATTGCCCCGGCTGCGTCGTCCATCATGGTTTCCATGAGGTCATGGAAGCCTTCATGGCCAGGCCCACATGTTAAGGCGTCCCAGTTGACGACGGGTGACCAGTGGCTCCAGTAATTACAGTCCTCGTCGGAAGAAGTAGCGGCGGTGTAGTCGGAAAAGTCGAGCTCAGGGATGGCATACATGTCAACCGGCATGGCCATGGCTGAGCTGACACAGAAGGGGGGCGGGGGAGTTTAATTTGTTACCAAAGACGGAGTCAAGTACGAAGAACTCGTTGATGAGAGATGTTAAGTGATGGGTAAGGGTTTGAGATTTATAGCTAGGCAGTGAGGGAGAGGGATGCTTTGTGATTAAACCTTCAATTAATATTTAAGCAATGGTTGTGATGTGTCTTTATTTTTTAAAAAGAAAAATTGAGAATTAGGAAGAATATATTAAGGGTGGGAATGACGGAGATGGTTTAGATCCCCCTTATTATAATGGCCTCAATCATCCTCTAAACTTTGAACTAATTATGCCTGCGCGATGTTTAATCAGTCAGATGCCCTTGTGTTTATCTATCCAATTTTTGAAAGAGGTATTATACATCTCAATCAACTCCTTAATTATAAATGATTAAGTTATTTTCTGTTATTGGTCTATTTTACGTCATCGTTGAAATTGTTACACATTTTATCTCCATTCATCTGTAAGTTTAACTCCACAGAATCGGGAGCTGTTGTTGCATCTGATCTATATGTATGCAAAACGAGGGTATAGTTATATACGCGTATATATGTATAAATACTTAGGGCTTGTATATACAGCTGGAAAATGAATCATCAATTAAAGTGAGATGAGAATAAATCAAGTAATAATGCATCATACGAACATATGTTAGATGATTAATTGCATGCTTGATTTCATATATGGTGTCCGGATGGGAAGGCCAGAAGCAAGTGTGAGAAAACAGAGAAGCAAAGAAATTAAAAATATGAAAACAAGGGGATGAGATGGGCACTGAAGAGGGGTTATATTTAAAGAGTACAATTTGGCCACCTTCCGTATAGAAATCATCAACATGAAAGCTCAGTAGATGGAAAACGAAAAGCGTTGCGGACAAGACTTATCTTTTACATTTTTGCCTTTATATACATACATACATATATATATATATATTCACAACAATATTTTAATGTCCATGTCACTGTTTATTCCCTGTATTTTTCTCTTGCTTTTAATTAACGACTGATCTTATATTTTGAGATCTTTTTATGATGACCTCTGCTGGACACAAATGTTTTTTTTTTTTTTGCCACACCAAATCAGTCATAGAAAATGTTGGTAACTTGTATATAATTACATGTGTTTGAACTTCTTATTGATAATGACTTTTTAATATATGTAATTACTATAAAAATTTAATTTAAGCATAAAATAAATAAATATTAGAGAAAAATAAATTGATTATTATATTTAGGATCAAATGAGATGCCACACTAGTTTTGATATTAACAGCACGGTGGTAACATGATTATTGGTGCTTAGAGAATGTTGGGAACTTGGAAATTCCATCAGCATGCATATATGCAATTCACTGTGTAGTGATTTTTATATATACCGTCTGATTTGAGTGGGACAGGTCATCGAGACCGCCCCTACAGTTCTTAACTGATTCAACTGTTCGATTGCTACGCATTATTCTTGTACGCGCATTTTATTGGACATTAATGAACGGCGTATTTTTTTGTTGTATTTGTAGGTTTTTAAACTGAAAATATGATAATAATTGAACTCGATACTTTTAGAACTATAATTTAGCGGCGGATTTTGATATTTGTACTTCACTAGAATAACCCCAGCGATATAATATTGCACGGAGCATGTAAAATTATGAAAGTATTGCGCATCATCATTCAAAATAAACATTACAATTATATCCACAATTGCGTATTTAATTTTTGTTTTGTAGAGTATATATATTGAGTTATTGGTTACGATTTGGTCCATCGCTGGAGTATTGACCAACTAATAAACCTTTCTTTTCAGAAGCAAAAGAAAACAAAAAAACAAAAGCGAAGGTGATGATCCATATGCTCCCAAAGAAGTCACAACAATTTTCACTTTACAAATGAATTTTAATTTTTTTATGCATTGGCCAACAGGAGCAAGTTTGCAATATGTGTTAGTTTGAGCCTTTTAATTCTAAATTATGAACTTTTTTCCTAACCCCTTTAGAATTATCAATCATACGGTTATGTATTGTTTTTTTTTTTTTTTTTTAATTTGTATTGGATGTTTCCGTATGAAAGGGCGCGCGCGCCAGCAACCGACTTCTCCAAATGATCTTCTTTATTATTGGTTAATCAGGGAATTTAATCTGGCTTAGTTGTGGTTTACTGCCTTGACACCACTAATAATATCCTTTGCAGTCTGAGCTCGCTTGGTGCCACGTCATCAAAGTCAAACCGTAAATGTCCCCTTTGACGATACGTGAGTGGACCACGTGGGCATATCTCAACAACCTGGAAAATACTCTCTGATTCGACGCTCGTTCCATTGGCTGATCAAAGCTTAATTTAGTAACTGACCTTATGGAATCCATCGGCGTGCTCAGGAATACAGTAATAGTAGGAACCTAGTAATTATCTTTGTATTTTTGTAATTCATATTCAATGGTTTTGTTCAGAACACCACATACAATTATTAACATATTCTTGTGCGATTGGGAGATATAGAAAAGAGACCGTTACATATAATTATATAGTGGAGATATAAACAATGGACCATGAAGGATTTAAAATTAATGGAAGGGGTTGTCCCGAGAGATATGATGGGAACACTTCAATATAACGTGTTTACATATTAAGTAAATTGACCTTTCGCTAACATTCAATGATCATCACAGACTCCATTTTCTTCTCTTTTTTTTGTGTGTGTGTGTTTTGGGGAGAATAGACAATTGTGTCTGCTTGCAAGGACGCATGACCTTGGGCACCATTAAATTAAGGATATGTAGAATCATCTATGTTACTGCGCTTCTAATTAAAATGATATGTTTTAAACTCACGAAAAGACATTTGGATTTTGTAAATAATTCTTCCAATGTAAGCAAGGAATGAATGCGCTCTTATATTATTCATTACGTGGAAGAATTTAACTGGACAGATTAAAACAGCCTCTAAAGAGGATGAAGAGGCTTAAGAATTAACCCAAAAAAAAACCCGGAAAATATGCTTATAATCGTATTGTCGACACTATAAATTGATCAACTTTTATTTCCAATCAATACTGACAACAAGCTAAGCTTCTGCGACTCCGTTTCTTCACAGCTCTCGATCCAAATAAATCTATATTTGGATTCAGTGATGTCCGTCGATTCCAAAAGACCTGTTTCGATTTTGCCCATAGCTAAGATGTATTTTAATCTCCCTGTCTGTGTGTCCCGTGTGTGAGTGAGATGAGTGACAGTGTGCGCGCGCGTTTTTCTGCCCTTTACTTATTATACGAATTTTCAGAGAATGATCGATGGCTCAGTAAAGATGTCATCACTTTCGTCTTCACTGATACATTTCTACCGGGCCTTTCAATTTTTCTCCTTAAACTGTTTTTTAACTTTCATGCATGTTCATATCATCAAAAGACACGTTAAGCGGAATCACTATAGCTGGAGTTAATTTTAATGTAATCATTGAGGCTTATGCGCAGCTAGTGTACACCCTGACTGTATATGACTTTGAGAAATCAGATGTAAAATAAGAACTGCGTATGGCAAAGTTTTTATTTCTACTTTTTTTTCCCCCCAAAAAGCAAACATACGAAGACATGAGATTCATGGTTTGAATCATGAGCATTAGATAGAAAGTCCAGTAGATGCCTAATTTATGCCATATATCAAGCATTGACCATTTGTGCTGGCCAAGGAATCGATGGTCGACAAGCTATAAGAATCATTATAAAAATTTCAAATAAATAATCAAAAATTAAGGGGGGAAAAAAACCAATCGGATCGCAAGAGTATTCATACATCATCAGTAGCCTAATCTCCGCGGTATACGTACGAATACGATGATACCTTGAGAATATATACGTGGTTGAATATATGCGAAGATTCTAACTCCTATTATATGCCAGCAAAGCAATAATGGCATTATTAAAAATAAGGTCATGCGTCGTAGATGACGTAAGTAAATAATGAATAATTTAGAGCTATCAATGAGGACACAATATAATGACACTCTAGACGTTTAAAATAACTAAGAACATGAAATCTGATTCACTTCATTATAAGAGCAGGCAGGAGGGGAAAATAAAAAAAGGTGTGAAGCCTTAGTCGCATGTGGGTTTTCAAAGGTTACCAAAACAAGAGGATTCCAGAAAACGTACGACGACCGAAAATGTGGAACATTATTTGATCATAACAAACGCAGATGGAATCAGAATAAACCATTTTAATTTGAAGTCACCATTTTGAATTATTGCATGAGTTGATGTATATATCAGGACTATAATATTCTGGTCCTTATAATCATATATACATCACCACAATCTGTAAATTTACTATGCAAATAAAACTAAAATATATTATGGTCAAATTAGTCTATTAGCTGGATGGAGCAAGGAACCAACTAGCATGAATTTGAATCAAAATAATTAATAATTAATGTCAACGAAATCTTGCTATGAAGATTCCACGAACATTGACATATGATTATATTGAAAGGTTAGACGAAGTAGCGCCAAGCTGAGTGTATATATGTGTTGATTAATAATTAGTGGTTAATTAAATTAATGAAGAGAAGAGATTATGCTTGCTTCCCACTGAGTTTCAGGTCGGCAGAATGGGAACTGGGAAGCAAAGAAGGAGCCTGACCTGTGAAAGTCATTAATGAAAGTGACATTAGTGCTCTAATTTCCTTCATTGATTGAATTATATATACGATGAGCATGCATGCGCCTGCTCTAATATTTGTCAGATTAATTCAGACTTTGCATATATTGTGGGATTAATTAAATATATATTAATATGGAACCCAAAATTGGTAAGAGTCCAACGTTTTAAAGAAAACAATGAAAGGCCGGCAAGCATACATGTTCCTTAAACACAGGCAAGGATCAGTCTCGTCAATTCTTTGTGAGGCAGCCTCTCTCTTTTCATCCTCTTGGGAGGCCACAGACATATATAACTATACATTATCACACTCTTTTTATTAATAATTCT